GCCAGTCTTGTTAATATATGCTGTAATTTACTAAGTTTGTTGTAATTGTCAATTACAACACGTGTAGCACTTGCTTATGCTTCGTTAGCTTGTACTTCTCCGTTTCGACAATATCAGAATAACGTTTACATATCTCAGTTGCATAATTTAACACAAAATGTATGTTCTTGATCAATGGATATCTCCTACGTCATTTTCTCGTTTAATGACATTACGTCGAGACGATTCCTCTCATAAATGATCAGAATCGAAGTCACACACTATTTTGCATTAAATAGTCAACGGCCGAGTAGCAAGAAGGTAGTAACGGGGCAAGAAAGGTAGTAACGGCTGCAGTTACTACCTCTTTCATTCCAGTTACTATATGTTTACTGACGTACGTAGGTAGTAAACTGGTCGCAAAAAGTTAGTAACGGTTGCAGCTAGTAACTGTTTGCTAACGTAGGCAGTAAACAGGTAGCAAAAGGGTAGTAACGGTCTAAGAAAGGTAGTAACCGCTGCAGTTACTACCTATTCACTTGCAGTTGCTACCTTTTTACTAACTTTTTTTAAGAGTGTAGCAACCGAGTTCCCTCTTGTGTAAGTATAGGAAACTCTATGCATTACAGGGAGGCTGTCGAATAATACATATTATTCACTGAAAAAACAACAGCATTTTATAGCACATAAAAAGGACAGATGAATAATCATCACCAGAAAAGTATTGAAAAACAACAGTGACTACCGATAAAAATTGAGGAACCAGTGCTCGCATAAGATGTTATCGCGCATCAACACAGAGAAAGCTGTGCGATGCATTCTCAAAGAATTGGCTGACGTTGCTTGTTGAACAACTGCATTATTAAACTAGTCTATATTTATATAGCGTATGAGAAAAAGGAGTGGCGGTAATAATTTATGACTTCGAAATAAGGTTGAATAGTTCTTTTATTAACGCGATCACATCGCCTTCCAGGCATTTGAAAATATAAATTCTTGTCTTTTTTTTTTTGCCAAATTATGGGGCAAACGTAATACTGTCAACCCTCAAAAGAGAGTTGACAGTATTTTTAAATAAATAAATAATCTGAAAAAGAAATTGGAGGCAATGTGTGAGCCTGCAATAATCGAAAGACCTTAACAAATGCATGCCGCTGTGTGAGCGTCACGTTGGTACCACATACGAAAAGGATTGCAAATTTTTGTATTCTCTCAATTTGTGTCCTCACAACTTTCTGGTGACACACAATGCTAGACCGGTCGTATAAATGTTTTGTAAGCCATTAGTTTTACGTCTGGTCTGGTATGGTCCAGTTTTTTTTCTTTTTCTTTTTTGAGGAGAGACAGTTTTTTTATATTTATCTTAGAACAAATGTTATCAATATGCGAATGCCATTGCATGCAATGTGTGCATAATAGTAACTCCTAGGTATTTAAAGCAAACGGCATTATTTAAAGGATTATGTCGGATGTGATACATGAATGACAGTTGTCGCCCACTTGAGCGTATGCGTAAACGCCTTGCTATAGTTTATTTCCATGTACTATTTTTTGCAATAGCCCCACCGCAGTGGTCTAGTGGCTAAGGTACTTGGCTGCTGACCCGCAAGTGGTGGGATCCAATCCTGGCTGTGGTGGCTGCATTTCCGATGGAGGCGGAAATGTTCTAGGCCCGTGTGCTCAGATTTGGGTGCACGTTAAATAACCCCAGGTGGTCGAAATTTCCGGTGCCCTCCACTACGGCGTCTTTCATAATCATATGGTGGTTTTGGGACATTAAACCCCACAAATCAATCATCAGTTATTTTTTACATTACTCGTTTAATACCTGTAAGTTCAGATTAATGTGTTCGCTTTCACATGCATCTGTAAGGAATAAATGAAGCAGTCATTAGCAGAACGTTGCACTTTATTTGGAGCCTTATCTATAAAACACATATCATTAACAAATGTCAGAAAAAGAATTGGTCCTCAAATCCCTGGAGAACCCCTGAAGACACGTTTAGTGGTCTTAAAGTACAGTTTTCAATTCTTACACTCTGTTGACGCAAAGGTAAATAAACCTGTGTAAATTTTAATACATCTTTACTTGTGCCTAGATTTTTAAGGTTGAAAAGCAACTTGCGTTGAGAAACCTAATGAAAGGTTTTCCTAAACTCCCCACAAATTACATCAGTCTGCATGTGGGCCTTGGTGTTCTTCTAGAAATCGTAGTGCGTTTCTGTTAATTGTGTCACCATTGAAATACCATGCCAAAACCATGTTGGTTAGCACAAAGTGACATGTTTAGACCGAGGAACGAAGGATTCTGTTTTGCAATTACGTGTTCTAGAACTTTGCAGCAAACAGACGTCAAGGATGTGGAGCGATTTTTTTACTAACGTACTGTTGCCACTATTAAAAAATCTTTATTACAATTGCATCTCGCCAGTCTTGTGGGAGTGATCGCATCTTAACCAATTGTACAAATAATATTTATAAATAAAATTAGACTCATTAGCCATATCGCTTGAGAAACGGAGGCAAATAGAAAACTCCAGCAAAAAAAAAATGATGCCATATATCCACGGAATAAATTATCAAAAGTGGGCGAAGCTCGAGAGAGGGAGGTAATTGGTAAACCGCAACTATCCCGGGAAAAGTTAGTCCTTTACATCGTTAGAAAGACGTAAGACCTTTCGTATCATCAGAGTCCTGTGGTATCATGTACAAATCAACTTTTATTTTGTTATTGTTCACAAAGGTGCTTTATGCTCGGTGAAGTGGTGGATCGGTAGTGGGGCGTATTAGTGGTATGTTTGCAAGGACGAAGTAATGGGCAGTTTGCAAAGGTGATTACGAACTGGTGCCAGAGGAAGGACACACCCACGGCTTTAGGAGCTTCGCAGCTAAAATTGTATTCTAAACACGGCGCTTCGAAGCCAGGCCATCTTCTTCCTTAGGGGTTAGAACGCTAGAGATGGGCAGCGCTTATACAGGCTTGCTCGCTTTCCGTCAGAGGCTCGTTTCTTTCCCAATCAGGTAGACTTTTGCCAAATGTTCACCTTTGACGCTCAAGAAACTCTGTCAGATGATAATCCAGACCACTTCATTTCTTCGCCTCTAGCTCAAGAAGTAACTGAAAAACGCCTTCCCGGTTGATAAAAGGTACCATTGAAATGGTAGCATAGGTGCTGACGGATTCCCCAATCTTATCTCCTTAGTCACGAGTGAAAGCAGACTGACTGCATGAATGCAGAATATGACTAATAACGCAAAGCGCATGCTCGCTTATCAGCGTTGAATCTTTTCCTCTGCCCCATCGTCCCTGAAGTTAAACACTCCACAAAACCTTGCTTAGAGTACACATTAGAGCCCGCACTCGAAGTCATTCAAAATTGTGCAGCGCGTTTCAAATTATCAAATTATTCCTGTCAATCAGGGGTCACGTCTATGGAGAGCACCCTAAACTTGCCTGACCTTTTTCAGCGCTGAAAATCAACTGCTCTGAATCTATGTCACGACATATATCATTATAACGGGAAATCGAAAGACGCCCCGTTGCATTCACTTCGTTTTGTGGGTGCTCCATCTCCCTAAGACGGCCCTGCCATCTCGTCGCAGCCGGTGGTGCAATCAGTCATTTGTTCCTAGAACAAGCGCCGCATGGAACAGCCTGCTTGCCAGAATCGACACCATAGCGGATGAACAAGCTTTCAAAATCACCATTCAAGATGTCTTGTAACTTCTCCCCACCCTTCCCCACTTTTTCTTTTCCGTTGAACTGCTCGTGTAACTATTCTTCCCACTCCTACTCCTTTCTGTAGCGTCTTCGGGACCATATGGTGTTTTTAATTATAGCAATAATAATGAAAAAAAGTCGACCAAACGTTGCAGTGGGTCACCAAGAGAGGGCGGCGGTAGCAATCTGTGCTTGACTGTTCCTACAGTGATGTCCTTCAATAGCGTAGTGAGATATTTTTTTCGGGGGGGGGGGGGGGGGGGGGGAGTTGTATGTACAGAAGCACGTGCGCTTCTATTAGTACACTATAAAGATGCAATATTTTGAGATGGACGAAAGTTTAACTCTTACCCCCCGCCTCCGCCCTCCCCGCCTACGCCATTGATGCCCTCCTCTTTTCAAACTACAGGAAGTTACAAAGCTTAAGGGCAAGGAGAGCTATAAAAAGAACGGAGACATAAAGAGAACGAGACAGTTGTACGTAAAGGTAGAGTGCGTGAAAAAAGTAAATGAATATTACGGTTCTGAAGGCATCGCAGGTAAAAGTTATTCATTGGTATTGCCTCACACTCAGGGCAGGTGCTATGTATATATATATGAAAAGTCTTTATGAACGAGGTTTATATAAATGAAAAGTTTTTATGAACGAGGTAGTGCTCCGGAAACGAAATCCCGCACAACAGAATGCGTGAAACCGACCTACACGGACGTGACGGAGAGCAGGAACCTGCCCCTGTAAACGCACGCGTACAAACACAAACGCAGCAGCGCCCCCTCATTGCACGTGCTTCTGCACAGCGGCACTAGGACACTCAAAGTGCGATTCGCGTAGCGCACGTAATGCCCCGGGCCACTTTTCCGAGTTTGCAAGGATGCCGGTCTGCGCAACGCCTGGGAAATAAAGACAAAACCGGGATACCCTCTCCGTTCAACGAGCGCCGCCGGCTCATCTTTTCGAGCGCATCGTCAGCACTCTGCTAGCAGCAGGCCACCTCGCGCATTTCGTGACGCGGCCGCAACTTGCAAAGCCAGGTCGCCGCCGCCGGTGCGCGCCGTGCAGGTTTCGCCGCGGCTCAACCCACATTCCTGAGCCTTTCCTCCTCACTGGTCACGTGGGAAACTACTCCTCACTCACGCCGTGCTAGCAACGCCGAAGCGCTGGCAACGCGAAAAAGCCGGCCGGCAAAAACACAAACAGAGAAGCACGCCTGTGCCGCCACCTGCCGACGTTGGATCCGCCTCGCTCACCGAAGAAAACTTTTGGTCGGGCCGGTTGTGTCGGCTGTGCGGTGATCGCGGCGCGGCGAGCGTGGCAGGTGTGGCTGAGCTCGGCGTTCGTTGTTCGTCGTGCTGCGGGCGCCTTCCGATCACGAGTCGTGGCGTCGGTGTTTCAGTGAGCGGTCGACCTGTGTGTGCGTTGCCAAAACACTCACAACGATCGCGGAAAGCATGCGTTGGACGAGCGGCAGTCTCGTGAGGTGACAGCCTGCACGGCATCGGAGACGCGCAGTGCAACGAGGCGGCTGTATTATAATGACCACGCGTGCTGGACGGCGACCACCACAATGAACGGATTCTCCATCCGGATTTTCGGCGCAGGTAAGACGATTTTGCGAATCTTGTGTTTGGTGCTTCGTTCGCACTCTGAAAACCTCGCATGTCTCTCATTGACGGCACTTGTGGAAGAGACTGGGGGTCGCCTTCTGTGGCGGACCCCCAGTCTCTACCACCCCTGGAATATGTGTCCTTCTGAGAACTGCGGTGCCAGTGTCAAAAAGCGGCGCGCGCCGTGGCCGAATCCCGGGTTCGCTGCTGGCGCCCCGAGGGAAAATGAAGCCGGTGTCGTGGACAAACTTGTTCGGTGCTCAGCCTATTTTTTTTGCTGTGCAGTCGGTGGCTCCGCTGACGTCGTCGCCCACTTGCTTGGTATTCATGATATTCCAACGTGGTCTCGCTCGTCCTTCCGTTTGCCTTGTGGGCAGCGTGAGCCGAACCAGTGAAGCCCCCAGGAGTGCTGGCGCCGTGTTTGCGTCTCTTTTTCACCGCTTCAACATCGATGGTCGAGTAGCAGCGATCGCATGCCTTGTAGGCCGCGCTGTCTCTTGGCCTCAATAGATTTACCTGGCTCGAGTGGTGGCCTACTAGGAAGCGGCGCTGTTTGAGCGAAACCGGCCCATGTGGGCCCCACCTCTCGCCGTCGTTTGGACCGCGATGCTGGTTCGCGTCAGATGGCAACGACCGGCTGGGCGGCTAGATTGCGTCGTTGCCTATTGTGGATCACCTGTCAGAGACACGGCTGCGGTAATGACGATGCTTTGAAGCCGGGCGGATCCTCGTGGTTTGGGGAGGGCCCCGCTGGAGCCATACGCAGCCGTGGAACGTGGATATCTAATGCCGCGCGTGTACGGTAATTAACGTTGCTGGGCTTCTAAATATAATCCCGGTCTTTTCCCCATGCACCGAGCGAGCGTGCGCTGCAGCGGTTTGGTTTGTCTTCGAAGTGCGTGCGCAGTGCATCTAGTGCTGCTAACGAGCTAATGTAAACTACCCTAATGAACCCTGCGTTTTGTTTGTTTCGTACGAACGATTGCCGATAACGAGTTTGCAGACTATGTTGAGAGAGTTTCATCTTATCCCCCCTGGCATCATCCTCCTTGCGAACGTCCTTTGAACTGAGTGAATCGGTGCTTAACTATCATTAACTGCGCCAGAATTGGGAACCGTTGCAAGTTGCATTTATTTTTCCTTGTTAGTGTACTTTAAATTACTGTTGTAAGTTTTGGGGTTAGGAGCTTTCCGTCACCACAGATTGGTCAGTGCGTTTGAGGCCTGCTTCATTTGTTCATGCCGTACGTTAAAAGCAGTCATTAGATATATCAATACGGACACCTTCACAGTCTAGGAATATGGAAGGCCCCGTCTAGACGCTTGTTGTACCAGTGTGTACCATTGTACCAGTGTGTTGTCGAGCCACAAGCAAACGATCGCCTTTCGCTCCATTTAGACGCGTGCCCTTGGAACTTTTTAAGTGAACACTGCACGATGCAAGAATACAAAACGCACTTTAGTGTTTGTATGCCAACTCTCTCTACCACACCGTTCGCGTTTCGGGCATTATCGTCTCTGCGTTGAAAATCGCTCGGAAACAGCGCAGCCAGTTGACAATGGCGGAGTTCCGCCAGCGGCGCTGTTGTCCCATGGACGACGCTTTTAGCGGGTACGAGTTTTCGATCGGTATCGACGGTGCGCGCCTGCTCTTAAGTGCCAATCGGGGAAAATGTTGTTACGAGCAGGCAATAAACGCAACCTGAAAGCGATGGTCCGCGTTTGAACGAGTGTCTTCTTTCGGTATAATCACCCAATCTGACTACAGAGTGTAGATCATACACTCGGTGAGGCGTTGCTCGGTGTTACGAAAATAATCAGGAAAAGCAGAAAAAAAAAAAAAAGACGTGGTGCGCTCCGATTCTGATGCGTGTGTAGTCAGCCATGCATTTCTGCTGCCTGCGCCGGGTATTGTTCGCAGTGTGTCCTATACGTGGCAAGGAAGAAAAAAATCATTCGTCGGACGAATTTGTTACGAGTTGCGCGAAATAGCGCGGTCACGGTGCATAGCCAAGCAGCGATTTCCGTATTCGACGCGAAGCTTCATCGGTGACCGACTCGTGAATGTTGCATGCTCTGTTTGGGAAGCGACTGTGTTTTTTCTCTGTGCTTTTTCTGTTCTTTTTTTACTGCTGTAGCGCCGTTGCCGTATGCCTTTCCCCAAGGTTTACCCATTTACCGCCCCATCGCTCTCGTTGCGTCGGAATTAGTTTGTACCCATACGGGTCGACGTGTAGATCGATCACCATGCACGAAAGAGCTGGTCACACCGCCTCCTTTGCGGTATCGTGGGTATTCAGCGAGCCCGAATTGGTCGTTGCGGTAGATCCGTTATATTTGATGCACTTCCTATGTACGATTGACGTACATGCTAATACAGCTACGTCTCGCATTTCTTGTTTGACTTTTTCTTTGTATATGACCCTGTTCTAATTTGCTTGGTTCTTTATTTTTTATGGCACCTTAATGTATATATACGTATAGCGCCAGGCTGGCGCCGCAGTATCGTATCGCGGTTCAAAAGTGATCGAGTGTAAATTGTCTTCTGTTGTTCACCTCGGTGACGTTTAATTTCTGCGTCGATCTATAGTACAGTGATTTCGTCGATACTATATCTGCCACCTTTGTCGTAGATGTTGCAAGTTCATTGACGCCATTGTTTGAAGCACGCGACAGGGCAGGAAAGCCACGGTACTGCACTCTTTATGTTCCATCACTGGGCGATGGTATAGTTTTACATATTCGACGTATCCCAAAAAGAAATGTAATAGTATTACATGGCGTGGAAGTCGCAGAGCACTTGCTTGAAACGATTAAGTGTACACGCTCATAGAACAAAGTATCAGGAACGTTGGATTCTAAAGCAGGGGTAGCAACTGAACGTTTATAAACATCCGAAGTGCTTGCTGTAAAATACCGGAAACATCTCAGCAGACTGTGGGATTAGGGTGCAGCGCACCTAACATATGTCAAGAAAGACCAACCTTCAAATACTGATTGTAATTGTGGGGTCAAGTATTATACCCTTCATTCGGCCTCAGCACAACACGCGCTGCGAGCATCCTGATAATGCTGCTCCCGGCACGCAGGACTTCAATGCGCAGAGTGAGTTCGAGTCCAAAGGGCAGCTTTTGTGGAAGAACGCGTCAATCTCAGTCGTCGATATGCATTACTGCTTTATTGGAACGCCCATAGCACAACAGATTACACCCTATGAAAAAAAAAAAGCGTAGTTTTCTCGTGTTATCACCATGGTTCCGGTAGTTCGCTGCCACGAAGGGCACGCGCGTTTGGCATAGCATTCTTGATAGCAAAGTGGCAAGCGGGGGACGGAAACTCTCTATACCTCCCATGTACGTGCTTTCGCATGCAGCGGCAGCGCCGCTTTTACCACTGGTGGCGGCCGGACATCCAATCGGAAAGAAATCACGAAATAAATAATCTATTTCATGACGTCACTGATGAGATGACCAAATAAGAGAGAGAATGAAAAAAGAGGCCTGCTTCATCTAAAAAAATTGGACCATCTCTTCGAAGGGAACTCTGATAGGATGCGAAGCAGCAGCGTTGCGCACGGGTTTAACGGTGCTAACGCGGGTGCTGCGGTGAGAGTTGGAAGATTCTTTTGAAGCAAAGTCTGGCGTAGGTCTTGTAGCTGACTCGTGCAGACATGTTTCAATGCTTACGTTAGGCGCGCGTCAGGTTTATTGCGCGTGAACCAACGAGTCGGTGGTGGTCGCGGCAGGTGTTGCTGGCGAATGGACTAGGTGGCAACTGCGGGCACCGCGCCGAGCGCGTGGCGGGCGAGAGTGACGTGAACACGCAGCAACGGCGTGACCTACTTGGCACCACGCCAACACGTTCGGCACGTTCGTACGGAGGGACAGCGTTACACAAACTAGTCAAAGAGCTGCTTCGCATCTAAAAACGAGAGAAGTGTTGCTGCGGAAGCTCTCCTTTCCCGGTTCGCATGCAAGTAGAACGCGCTCGTGCCTTCTTTCACGTCTGCTGGCCTCTTGGGCCATGCGGCTATTCGTAAAGTTTTGTTAATCATTTCTTTAAAATTGTTCTTGTCTTCTCAAGTGGTGAAAGTACAGTTGACCGATTTTTGAGTAAGATGAAATTCGATTGGCACAAATAAAATGAACTTTTTGTTCCCTTTGATGTGCTCGAGGAGCGGGCTACAGGCAGCCACCGAGGCGCCGGCAAAGGAGACACCCTTGCGAGGCTTCTTGCTGACAAAAAGATGATTTATTTACATATTTACTGTCCGAGCGAACAGGCAACATGCACTTTATATGCTCCGTCGGTGCACGCGCATCTCCTCGAACTCGGGCTGTGTCCCAGCGACGCCGATGCGCGTTACCTGCAGTGCACGTGGACACCTCTTGCGTTTACAGACGACGTTTAGCAGGTACGTCGATGAGCGTCCATTTCAGACCGGGTCTGCATTGCCAGTTATAACACCGTTATGTATTAAAAAATAGAGGCATACACGTAGTGTGAAAGTGTCCATTCATAAAAACAGCTTCAAATTAATATTGACGTATGGGGATAATGAGGAAACATTGAGGCCAGAATATATAAACAAAAATTACCAATATTCACGAGAAATCACGTCTGTTATGACGGCGCACATAGTTTTCTTACAGAACATGAATACCAAATAAGAAACGTTCATAGGCATGGAGAGGCTTGAAGCGATTTCAAACTTTTTCAACACAGAACGTTGCTGGAAACAGTGTTTCGGCAAGTTGACTTGTCCTCGTCAGGGCAACAGCATTGATTTGACGAAGAAAAGTTCACTTGTCTAAACTTCGGCTGCAGCGGCATTCTCTGGCGATTTCTAGAAGCGTTTTGTCGGTCACATGCGTTTGGGTGACAGTATCAGAAGTATAGACTCACAAGCTTCCAAACCGCAGCTACATGAATTTTGTGAACAGATAGGAACCTATAATTACTTGACATCATTTGAACTACACGACAAAAGTAAA